TCTTCCCTTTTTTAAAGATGGGGACCACATTGGTCTTCTTCCAGTTGTCTGGCACCTGGCCAGAGCACCACAAGTGCTCGTAAAGCCGCACCAGGGGCCCTGCGATAACCCCTGCCAATTCCCTCAACACCCTGGGGTGGAGAGCATCTGGACCTGCTGATTTGAATGCATCCAGACCCTCCAGAAGTTCCCTAACTCAGTCCTCCCTGACCCTAGGCCTGGCAGAGTTTTTCCTGAGTCTGTCCTGAATCTCGGTAGGGGAGTCGTGGTCCCTGCACAAGAAAATGGAGGCAAAGAAATTGTTAAAGAGGTCTGCTTTCTCCTCTGATGCAACCACCAGATTGCCAAGCATATTCTGCAGGACCCCACATTACCCAGTGCCTTCTTCATACTCCCTGTGTATTTAAAAAAGGACTTTTTGTTATCCTTGATGCTAGTCCTAGTTCCGTATCTGCCTTAGTTTTCCTAACAGCCCTGCTACAGACCCAAGTGGTAGAGGTATACTCCTCTTTGGGGACAGCCCCTCCCTTCCACTGGGTGTACGCCTCCTGGCTGTCCTTATGTGACCTCCCCATCACCACAATATCTGACCACCTGGTGCTAATGGCTCCAGCCTTACAACACTGTCAGATAGGGCAGTGCTATTATCCCCATTGTACAGATGGAAACTGGGTAACAAGATAAGGGACTTGCCCAGTTACACAGGAAAACAGTGGCAAAGGAGGATACTGAACCTCCCAAACCCAAAGTCAGTCTGGTACCCACTGAGCTACCCCTCCTCTTGTTTCCACGGAAGAAACCTGCAGCTGTCTCCCCAACCCTGCAGTACTGTTTGAATGGCAGTTTGGGGAATGGTGTGTAATCTCTAGGACTGCTGTGGTGCTGGACTGGAAGAAGGCTGAACTGTTGGGTAGTTCACATCCCATGTCCAGCCAGAGATGGGTGTCTGGCAGCTCTAGCCCATGTCCTGTGCACAGAGCACAAGGCTATTCTTGTCCTACTCCAGTTCTGGGTGCAAGGGGAGGCAGTGACACAGGGTCCCCAGTGCCCTGGGACTTCCTACTGTGATGCAATAACTCTTCTTTGTTCCTCTAACCTATCCTTTAGATATTGCCCCCCGCTTCCACTCATACCCAATCCCCTATAAGTATGGGCCCTACTGTTCCCTGCAGGCCACTTAAAGGACCACTCCCAAATTAGGCAATTTTTCAGCATAAGCAAGAGCACGTAGAGCTGTGGAGATGCAATGAGGGCATTGTGGGGAGGCTGCAAGGGTCTGTAAGGCCATGGCATAGCCACTGCATCAGACTGAAGCACGCAGCCGAATCAGTTAAGCACTGCATCAAGCCTTGTGAGGTAACCAAGTGCTTAGGGCACCTCCGTGTGTCACCCCCCTTTCAAAACAATTGCCAGGTCATGGCAGGAGCCTGAATGAACCTGCCCTTTCCTTTCAATGCCAAGAGCTCATCTGCTGTCTGGAAGACTGTCGGTTACATAAGAAAGCGCCTGAGGCTGACAGTGGTGGTGGAGGTGCAAAACAATGCGGGCATGTTCAGATTTGCACACAGGTCTCCAGAAGGGAGAGCCATTCCCATCTCGCAGGAAGCCCTGTGGAGGGAAAGGAGAGAAGAAGCCCCCTCAGAGTCTGGCAAGATCTGAGGAGAAACCTTACCCCATGCAGTCGCCCTGACAAAAACGAGATGGAAACCCAAGTCCTGTTTCTGTCTCTGCCACAGGCTCCCATGTGATGGTGGGCATATCACACGGTCTGGGTTGCAGTTCCTCATCTGCAAACTGGGCATAACTGGAAGTGGGGGTAGGGGGATTATGAGACTGGATTTATTGATGCATGTAGCGTGATTTAAGGTCCTCAGCTGAAGCATGCTGTGAGAGGGCAAAGCATTTCTGAGGCACAGATTAAGCTCCTCACTGAGCTTCCTGCTCCCTAGTGCTGAGCATTACTAAGCTAATCACATGGCAGTGTATTTCTTCCCTTGTTTTGGGAGCTCTTCTATTCTGCATGTGGGTACGTGCATTGTGATCTGCTACTTCATATTCCTCAGGGGCCCCTGGTCTTTGTGGGAGGTTTCCTTTATCTGGCTGGATGCATTGGAGATTCACAGGCACAACCCCCTTGGAAAGTCCTTTTGGTCTCCAGGCTCATTGACTTGCATGGTGTTTCTTCAGGTTCATGGGATGGTGTTTCAGTCTGGGGTGGAAGCCCTAAGGTCAACACCCATGTCAGATCTTCCTGGCTCTCCAGTGGGGGTAGAAACCTCTGCTTAAATGAGTCTGATCTTGTGCGTCTTGAAGAACCATTGGAGTCTTCATGTGTTTCCCACCAGGTCCTTTGAAAACCAAATCCAAGCTCTCCCAATCCTCCTTCCAGAAGCAGTCGACAGTCATGGACATGGACAGCTTTCCAGCACGCCCTCAGAGTGCCAAGCTGTCTTCCCTCAGTAACACAGGTATGCCCACGGCATTGAGCTGTAGATGGTGCCCACTGGTGAGAACACCTTCCTGAGGGTGTGGGCCGTAGAAACATCCCCTGTCTTCATAAGTTTTCCAGCAGACATCTCCCCACTTGGAGCCTGGTAACGTTAAGGGACTCAAGCAGTCAGGGAGTGTTCCAAGAGGAGCCTCCCTACCGATGAGTCTGCTTTGGGGTTTTCAGGAGAAATCCCCCCTCGTTAGGTTCATTAGTATAGGACCCAGGAATTAGTTTTTATTCACAGCAGAAGTAGCCAGCAGATGGGACATGAACTATAGAAAAAGCCCTCTGCTCAGAGCAGGGCTGGTGCTGCTGCCTTTTGTCATGGCTAATGTTCGAAGCCCCAGTGGGATGTTGTCTTGCTTTCTGAAGCCAAACAGTGTATGGGGACCGGGGTCTCAGCGGGGAGGGGCAAGGAGGAAATCACTGGGACACATTTGCCCTTGGCCTGCATCAGGATGAGAAGGCTTCATGTGGTTTGGCCTGCCACATTCCCTCCTCCCAGCCCCCGCCATGCAGGTGTCAATATCATCAAGCCGCACATGGGTCCTTCAGCTCTCCCACCTCCAGTGGGGGACCTGCATGTTGGACCAGCCGTAGACAGGACTCCACAGTGCCCTGGGGACAGCATCAGGGCCCATCTCCTCAATAGGGCAGTCCCTGTGCAGAAGGGCCCATTGGGCTGCTTCAGTCCATTGTGACCTGGGGTCACACTGCCCTCTGGCACCAACCCTAGCCTTGCAGGGGCCGCACAAAGAGATAGGGAAACAGAACATGAAGAGAACAGTGTGCTCCCCTTTCCAGCTGCTGGGCCTTCCCTGCCGCCACTCCACACTGCAGCAAAGGGCAGCACCTGAAGGGAGAAGGAGAAAAGACCAGGTCTTGATTCCAAGCCTCTTAAGGATGCTGGGGAGATGATGACCAGTACAGCGGCATGCACTAAGCTAGCCCACTGACTTCAGTTCTTTGCAAAAGACCCTCTCCCTGCCAACTGTGATGGACGGGTGGTTTGGAGGCCTTTTGCTGTCCTTTCATCAACCCATCCATCTGTTCATGAAGCCACTGCTTGATGGTAGGGATCAATGGTCATCTGGTTTCCAACGCAGTCAGTTAGGAGAAGCTGGGCCGCCTGAAGAAAACCATGGGAAATCACAGAAGCTCTCAACTGAACTGAGAGACATAATTCACTGCCTGCCATTAGCAGGGAGATTAACTGCACTTAGAAGTGCATTAGCCTGCTAGAGGAAAAGACAGTGTTTAACTGGCAGAGTTAGATATAGAAGGAAAGCAGGCAAGCAGGACTGATGGATAGATGGCTTGAAGATGAATATACCTCTAGATATAGTTAGAAATAATGGACTGGGCAAAGTTCACTACTGGGCAGAGGGACAAAGTCTGCTCATTGCCAGAGCCCTCTGCTCAGTTTTGTGGCTTGGGTGGGTGTCAATAAATGAACAGGGAGCAGGCATTATGAGAAGATGGAGTGGGCGAGGGACAGCGGAGGCAAGAGGAGGCGGCCGGTAGAAGAGAACTGAGGTATGAAGAGTGAGAGCTGAAGGGTGGATGGAAGAATGGGCAGAAGGGTGGTGGGGTAGGGAGGAAATGGTAAGGAAGTGCGGCAGGAGGCAGTGGCGACTACAGGGGAGGTTGTATGGAAGGCCAGAGCATCAGATGAGGACAGTCCATTCATTCATCTTTGTCATTTTCCCTTGGGGGCAGCGAGGTCCCTGAAGGACTGGCCAGTGTCATCCCAGGGTCGACTGTCCCAGACAAGCCTGATCCATCCACCACATCCAACACAACCCCAGGAGGAAAGAGATGACTTTCCCATGCAGGAGAAAGAGACCCTGGAGTTTCAGCTCACTGTGCCCGTGGGCCAGCAGACGGACGAGCAGGCAGCTCCGTTTCAGTGATGGTGGTGGCAGACAAGCGGCTCTCACTGGCGGAAACCAGGCAATAAAGCGGGAGCAGAACAGAGGGGAGGCTGTATGCATGTGTCGCTGCTGTAGGAACAGGGAGCTTTTTGTGCAGGCCCTTCCACACAGCAACACTGTTTCCGGGGGGGGTGGGCAGGCCCTGGCTTGCATAGAAACAGCCCTTCCCAGGGCCTTGCAAGGCTTTCTCCCTTGGTAGCTTTGTCCCAGGAGATGGGGGCAAATATCAGCTTCCCTGGGTGAACTGGTTAGATACCAGCATGTGAGCCTCAGCCTCCCCTTGTAGGGATGCCTCAGCCAAATGATGGCAAGATTAGTGGCGTGATTGAATGACAGGTGCCAGAGCAAGGGCAGGGTCCTGCTACAAGGCCTGGGGTTGTTCTCATCCCGAGTGAAACAAGAGGCTGAGTGGCACTGCCTTGGCACTGTGGACCATTGCAAGCTGGGATATATGGTCTTCACTGGCTGCACCCTCGTACTAAAGAGCAGGGGAGGATGCAGCCTTCTTTGCTTCATCCCCCTTGGGGGTAGCCCTCTGGCTGCTGGGTAGATGTCCCGTTCTGCCACCTTGTGGATACCCTTTGAGTACTCTGGCACACAGGTGGTGATGCTTGCAGGATCATCTCCCTACCAGTCTGATTGAGGTTTGTGGAGCAGAAAGGCTCCAAGGGAGAGACTGTGTATTATGCTGCTGCTCTTCCATGCATTTTCCATTCCCCAGCCCTTCCACAGAGTGTCTGATCCTAAACGGGCCTTGTCTACATCTCTCCCTGGCTGTAGTTCCAATTGCTGCTAGAGCTTATGCACATCCACATACTTGTGGCAGCCCCTCTCGTCAGCAGCTGTGCTGAAGGAGAGCCACATGCACACCAGGAAAGAGCCCCTGCTGAAGGGACCATGGCAGCCAGCAGAAGGTGTGGGTTTGTCACCATGCATCTTCTGCCAGATGTGGGATGGTAGCAGAAACCTTTTCACTTGGCAGAGGTGGTGTCATGCTACCAGCAGAATGCAGGCTCCTGCCCCCATAGAGGAGCTTGAGTGTGGACTCGCTAGCAGATTTGCCAGGTGAACATTGCAGCGTAGTCTAGACTTGAGGTGGCTTCTTGACTGGAGCTGATGGGAGAGCCTACATCAATATGATGTGCTCTAGTCAGTGGGTCACAGGCTTTGGTCCTTGCTTTATCTAGAGGAGTGCCATGTCTGGGCTCCCAGAGTCTTCAGAAAAAAAAATATTTGCCCTAGGTCCTCTCTGGGCAGAACATCCAGAGTGCAGGAGGAGCCCAGCCATTCATGCTCAAGGAAGGGCCCAAGCAGGCAGTAACAACTCTCCAGTGCATCTCAGTTCAAAGTCTGTGCTCAGTTGCTTTTCTGCAAGTCCAGTGGAACCTCTAGAGTTGCACTGATGTGAAGAATAGCAGATCCTGGCTGATTGCATTTGGAAAGTGGAGTCTCCAGTGCTACGCAGGCTACAGGGCACAAGCACTGAGTAAATGCTCTTTGCTGGGTTAGTAATTACATCTGGTTGGCTCAATAGATGCCCTAAAGCTACACCATACTCTTGAGTTCCCAGCGGCATTTTGTCATTACGCCTGGCTGTTCTCATCTGTGATTTACAGCAGAAATTCCAGAGTATTTCATGTCTGCTGTGTAAGATGAGCCAGTGCCTGGCACCAGCTGTGGCAATAACCTGCCAACCTGTGACACCCACCCAGGACATGGCTGGCATTTGCTCTTGGGACCTCTATCTAGCGTGCCAGCCTGAGGCACTTGTTCTGTCACTCGCCCACTCCCTGGTGCTTATCCTACAAAACCTGCTGCTCCAGACTACTGCTTCTGGCTAGGGGTATCCCTGTGCTGCAAGCAAATGTTTATGGCTTGGGTATACATTGCTAGGCTAGCTTTATCTCCCAGCTCAGGTAGCAATAGCTGTGAAGGCACTGCAGGACTGGTCAGCTGTTGGCATGAGGACCCATGGTGGTAAGTGGGGCCTGTACAGCCCAGGCTGGAGCCCATGTAGTGTGACCTCCCTTCTGTTGG